GAGAGAAGGAGGGAAGGATGAGGGGGAGGGGAGGAAAGGGGAGGAGAGTGAATGGATAGAGAGGGGAAAAGGGAGGGAAAGAGTGAGTGGTGAGCAGGGGAGGAAAGAGAGGGAAAGGGTGAGTGGTGAGCAGGGGAAGTGAGAGAGAGAGGGAAAGGCTGAGTGGGTGGAGGGGAGGAGAGGGTGAGTGGATAGAGAAGAGTGAGTGGATAGGGAGAGAAGGGAGGAAAGGGTGAGAGGAGGGAGGGGAGGAGAGAGGAAGGTAAAAGGCGACTGGAACGAGAGAGAAGAGAGTAGGAGTCAAAGGGTCCAAAGTGAGTGGAGAGAGGGGAGGAGATGGAGGAAAGAGGGGGGAGGGTAAGAGGAGAGGAAGGGGAGAGGAAGGGTGATTGGAGAGTAGGGAAGGAAAGGATGGGAATGATAAAGTGGATGAGAGGTAGGGTAAGAGTGAGTGAAGAGAGGGTATGAGAAGAAGGGAAAGAGATGGAAAGAGAGAGAGAAGAGAAGAGGGAGGAATAGAGTGACTGGAAGGAGAGAGAAGAGGGAGTAAAAAGAGTGAGTGGATATAAATGAGGAAGGAAAAGAGGGAGTGGAGAGAGGGTAGGAGAGAGCGGATGTGTGTCTTAAAAAGGGGCAAGGCGAGCGAAGTAGACAGTAGAAAATGTAGAAACGAATAAGAGCCGTGAGGGAACGTTCGGAGGTAGATTTAGCTTGCGAGAAGTAGTATAAAAAAGGATGATTGAGTGAGCGAGTGAGTGAATGAAGGAAGAAGTGGAGTAAGCTGGCCGAATCAGAGAGCTTGCAGAGAGAGAGAGAGAGAGAGAGAGAGAGAGAGAGAGAGAGAGAAACAGACAGACAGACAGACAGACAGACAGACTGAGAGATAGACACAGAGAGAGAGACAGACAGACAAAGACAGACAGACTGAGAGACAGACAGACAGACAGACAGACGGCGAGAAAATAGAGGGTGAGAGAAATCGGAGAAGAAAGGGGGAAAGGTTGGGGGTGGGGGAGGGGGTGAAAAATATGAGCCGATTCTGACTTTCCATAGAGGTGCTAAGGAGGAATCAAACTCTTAAAAATCTCTTTGAAATAGTTTGGCATTTCAGATGTTAGGTGTATATACAGACACTCTACTACCGATATTCTTAACAGGTTCAGGCGCCAGAAGATGAACAATGTATTGGGAGAAAACAAAACCCTTTCTCTGATGAGAACTAGTGAGATGAACGTTTTAACAAACTCGAAAAACAAGTGAACGTTTGCATGTGTGTGTGTATGTGTGTGTGTAGGTGTGTGTGTGTGTGTGTGTGTGTGTGTGTGTGTTTGTGTGTGTGTATGTGTGTGTGTGTGCATGTGTGTTCGTCTGTTTGTTTGAGGGAGTGTGTGTGTGAGTGTGTGTGT